GCAGTAGCGCGACGCTGTAGCGCGACGCTGTAGCGCGACGCTGTAGCGCGACGCTGTAGCGCTACAAGTGTGAACGCTGCCTAAGTGGACGCCACAACAAAACTGGCCTATTGACACGTTGGCGATATTGTGAGCTGCCAGGTGGCTCATAAAGTTCTGCACCACTTCTGGTGCTATTCCCAGTAGTTTCTACTGATCTGCTCTTTGTTTTCTGAACACAAGTCTCAGGTGAATTTCCAACAGGAAATGGAGAAAATCTCTGTCAGAAAAGCGAGAAAATTTCCGCCACCTCCATGAGATATTTCGAATTGGAACCTGGAACTTTCCCACTAACTACAACTATTCCAGAAAATCTTAAGAAAAGCTCTTTTGAGCTAGAACTTTGGCTTACTTAGGGACTACTCAATATTCTGATCACGAATGCGACGTTCGTCCTAGTGCCGGCGTCATATGGCGCCAATAAGCGCCGATTTCGCTTAACAACCTTTTCTTCCAAAGAATGACTAGTGCACCACAGTTATCTGACTTCCTGCTCACAGATATAGTATTTGTTTTCAGCTTGCGTGCCATGTGGCCGATTTATATAGAAGCATCGGGGTGATTGGGACTTCGAACAAACCAATTTGTTGGGAGTTAGTAACGTCACAAGTGTCAACGCTAGAAAGGAATATCATATTTGTGACCAGGACACTCAATGGTCGTAGTAGGGATTGAAATCAAGGCTGGAAGGAAAAGTAGTGGCAGCAAACGGTGAAATTGTGAGAAACAGATGTTAAATTTGTGACCAGCATACCTAATTGCCACTGGCTGCCCTGTAGTCGAGTTATGAATTTTTCTCAGTGACGCCGTTTACTTTCGGCCCGTGTAAACAGAGTTTCAGCAAAAAAAAATAACATTTAAGTGGTGACAAGGTATTACTGCGACAAAGAGCGAAGAAGAGATTGTGAACTAGAGGAGAGGGTGAATTTTCGAAGGCTGCTGGAATGAGCCAAAAGTTCATGGATCATATCTTTCATTTACCAGAAAAACAGAAATCTTCATTTTTCTAAAAATGAGTTTGCCTACAAACAAAATTCACGATCACTTCTTACTTCTCGTAACGTATTCAATTTATTTTGGATGCATTATTGAAGTCTGGTAAGACAGCATTGATACAGGTCGATCTTGTCCAAACCTTTCTAATCCAGCCCAGCATCACACAAAACCCGTTTTGAAAAGCGCCCCTCAGTCAGAGAGATACTCGTTGTCACCGCGGGTGCATACAAATGAGGACTGATAAGTGTCGCTGCATGGTAAGGATGAACAAGCTATCTGTCGCTGCAGGATGGGAAGATAAGTGATGGTCGCAACACGAGGGTTAAAAATGCTTCCAACTTTCTCTAGCGAGGTCAAAGGGTTACTGTAACTAACCTGCATGGATACCCAAAGATTCAGTGCATCATCTCCAGTCATGGTTGCGATTCCCTTCAACACTTGCTGCGTGCACATTAACATGGTGAACAAAAACACAATTGTTGTGTAAAACAGCATACCCTGAACCTTACATTTTAGAGTCAGTTGAGAAGGACTACAGATGTCCACGAAAACATAGCAATGGAATTAGCTGTTACAAGTAAGCCGGTTCTTTGGGCTCTTAAAAAGTTTGCCCTCGAATTTCTCATGTTTTTCATGATATGGGAGTCAACCATATCATGAAAAACAGTCAATACTGATGTCTATCAAAGGTACTTACCCTCTCACTGCGGAAGCGCTTCGCAAACTCGCTTAACTTTTAATAAGCCGTGTAGAAGGACAAGCGAACCGACATTGAGAATAACACCAACTATCGCGTAAAGTGAACACGTAGCAATGTAGGTGAATCTATTGATCTATAAATGTCCAACTTTTACTCTTCAAATGTGAAAAGTTCAAACAATCATAGCGCAGGAATGGAGGCATTGGTGAGAGAAAGCGACAAGCAAAGATAAAAATGTTTCCCAGAATCACTTTCACCGCCCACGAAAAGAACAGAACCGATTTATGTTGATCCCTAGGTTCTAACTGATGAGATGCTATTTATTAGCTTAGCAGTAGTCGCGACAAATCTAAGCTATGTTTCAGCAGCGAAAGAAAAAGTCAAAACAAGTCGAGAAATGACATCTTCAACCGTTACACTTAAAGGGCTCATTAGAAAAGGGGTTAGATAGAACAACAAATAACGTGGGTTTTATCACAAATGGATGTTCGACTAGGCATCCTTCATCGAGTGAGGCACAATAGACTCGTCGTACCAAAACTGACCAGATCGCTTCGTTTATCCATGCCCATATACAAGAAAGTTCCATCATCTTTCTTGATAAATATGTATTCTGCTTTGAATAGTGGAATGAAAGCTGCAAAGGCACAGCCATATTGTAGTCCTATTATAATACGTACATTTCTCCGGTTCCAAACCTTAACGGTTATTCAGTGTAGTGCAGTTTTGATGGAGAACTCGACTGATGAATTTTATTACAATTCCGTATATCGTTTTGGAACCCAGGTAAGAGGACAAAGTGCAGAGAACCGATTAACTGCGATGAGCATATTTCCAAGCATATGGGCAGCAAAAGATGTACAGCCAACAATACCACCAATTCGAAACAGAGGCACGAATTGTGGACCCAAGGAAGGGAGTTCGCTTTTAATACGAAATAGACAGAAGATTGAAACAGATGTCACGTCAGCAATTCCTAGGCGAAGAACGACCGCGTTAGCATGCTTGAAATGATTCTCCTGTGTTTCCACAGAAGAGACAATAAATAAAATTAAAAAATTGCACGTGAGCGTTCATTTCATTTTCTCTCAAATGAGTCTTATCGGCAATGATTGTGGAGTGATCGTAATTTTGTAGTCTCTAATTGGTTCACCAGTAAAAAGGCAAACCGTTAAAAAATCCCTCTCACAACCACACTCAACTTTTTAGCATTGTGGGGTTCCACGCTGAATGTGCAGAAGAGACGGAATGATGTGACGATGGAGTGCAATGATTAAAAAAAGCGCTACTGCCCATGAGGCGCAAACAGTTTCGTCCATGTCGCCCCGCTTCATAACCTTTCACAGTGCTTTCCAGAATTTTTCCGGGAAGGTGATGCACCTTCCGCGGCTGAGGCAATTGCAATCTTATATTACATAATAAACATAAAAAATGATTCCTGCCTGGTTTGTAAGCATAGAACCTTCCTGTTTCGGAAGCATAGAACCTTCGCATATATAGACTGCAGACTATACCTCACTCGAGAGCAGTCTGTATATTAGTATGCAGTCTATATATACGAAGGTTCTATACTCCCGAAAGCATCCGTTCGTTTATTTGAATGTGAGTTGTACTGTTCTTTTGTCTAGGGACATCAAATCAGACTAGAAACGGAACGCTGATGAACACCACGAAACGATTCACGTGATTCAAACGGCATCTTACCTGTTGCAACAAACATAGAGTAGAAAGGATTCGCGAAGAATTTTAGCTTAGATGTGACAATAATAAATAGGACAAATACATAAACTAAAGCAAGGATAACTTCTATTATAGTTTGTGTCAACGTTGAACATGAAGAACTTCTTTGAACTTCAATATTCTGAAAAAACCACGTTACTGTTGGTAACTTTGCATTTTCCTACTGTTACGGCTTTGAGATGTTTTTTCATAGTCTCAGAAGTATGTTCTACCCCACATAGTGATAACTAACGTCTGGGGGGTGGCAGACTTCCTGCATGAAGTTCAGTACGATACAGAAGTGGCCGCCTTTCAGTTAAGCTATGGCATATTATGTACATTACGCCTCTGTGTAGATGGTCCATGCAGGGATATCTTCCTTCAGGGAAAGGGCCCCAGCTCAGTAACCCAATTATTCAGTGTGAAAAGTTGCAACGTGCGGAGCTACAATGGTTACTGAATGCTATGCGCCATGCCCCACCAGATGGATTGAACCAGGCATGTTCTGATGACCAAGGCAGCGTTATGAGGCGAGCTGTAACGCAGTACCCCATTGCAGACGCTGCGCTGACGCTCCAGTGCTATAGACGGAACGCAGCTGCAAACAGGTATCGATTGCGCCGTCCGCTTGGGTTTGGAAGTGTATAGATTGGCGGGAGGGTAGGCGCTGGTTCGCGGTTTTGCTCTCATTCTACTTTACTCTCGTCTTTACTCTCGACCGCGTCATCGCGAAGTCTAGACGCCGCCTAACAACGGATGTCAAAATGACAGTTCTGGTTCAAGATCTGGGCTAATTTCTTGTTTCTTTGACCATAGGCATTCTTTTGACATCATTGTACATGTGGTCCAATGATATTTGATGTTTTCAACAGTCGCTAACCTGGAGTACCTGTAAAGTCACCGCGTTGTAAATACCACGCAGGCAGTTCCGATCAATGTGCTGACTATGTAAACGATCTATCAGTTCAGAAGAGGAAGTCCTGCAACACTTTAACTACATTGTTCTAGAAAAAAATTTGCGAATGTTGTCATCTCTGATTAGTGGAGAGTATTCTCTGATGGGATATATCATGGCTCTGTTATGCTTTCAAAGCTCAAAAGTCCCAGAGGTCGAGGTACTTTTTGACATTTCCCATCTAATGAGTTCCTAAAGGGCCACTCCACCGTCGTCGTCAAGATGGATACAGTTTGCCAAGGCACAGTATCCCGTTTGTTTCAGCGCTAAGTTGCACCTAGGTGACAACTGCCATTCTTCTTCACGGTCTCGATTAGAATTTCCAGGGAAGGATTTCGCATGAGCTGCACCAGTTTGATCAAGCAATTAGTCGTACCTGGGTTCCCCCTTATTTGTAAGCACTGGAAGGACCTTTTTTTGAGACAATGTGGTTGGTGACGAGAGCTGGGTTCCTCGCGTAAACCATGCACATATCCATCCTAGAATCTTTCAAAGGGAGAAGTCGTCTGCTTAAACAAAAGAAGGCGTCCATGAAAAAATATTCCACAGTGTTATTGGTGGGAATCAAGGCGATAGCGCTGGATCCTGGTACAGATGTGACGGCTAAGCCAACCTTAACCAACTTCAAAACATGGATAACGTCACCCTTGAATTCATTGAGAAACAGTCTGTTTCTTTCTACTGCCCGGCAATGCGAGCGTGTGGGGCGATGAGGTGTTACGCCAGAAGATTATGGATCGCAAACAGGGAAACCGACCGTCTCACCTTGTTCTCTGAATTCGGAGCCAATAACTACTATCGATCACTCGATCCCTACAGAATGCTGTTATAAGAAAAGTTCAAAAATCAACGTCTACTCGGATATGAAGTCCACCTCTTCTTTTAATCGCAGTTTTACAAGAGTGGAATCGAGAACCTGTGCAAAAGGTGGGCACTACGCTAATGGTGATTACCTTGGTGCTTCGGGGGTGTCGCTTAGTGACGGGAAATTCGTCCCGAAATTTTAGCCAGAGGGTCGCACGATTTTCTTTCCAACCTAGTAGTTGACAGAGCCTCTAAGAACTGCGTAAAGGTCGGACAGCACTTCACATTTAGCCATCACGTGGGTGGTCAGGCGCGTTGGGGAGAAGAGGGCTACATAACCATGTCACGCCTTTTTGATCTCAAATCCCCTTTCAGAATCTGCAAAACGATACTCTAGACGGTTTCGCAAACTTGCCTTTTCTCACGTTGTGCTTCAAATGTGAAAAAAAGCTGAAAAAAACGACGCCATCCTTAGACGCCTTCAATGGTATATATTAGGTTGATAAGAAAGTGATGACCCATTTAAAAAATTTTCTGCTTTATTTTAGTACTCAGCATACAATGCAAGCTACTCAACAATATAATCACCATTATTAGTGACAACAGTCTCCCACTTAATGGGCAGGTCAGCGATCCCCTTCTCCCAGAACTGAGGAGACTGGGAGTCGAAGAAGTCACTCACCGCCGGTTTCACATCATCAACTTTGGCTGGTAATCTGAAGGAGCTAGGTCAGGGGAATAGGGCGGGTGAGGGACAGTTTCCCAGCCCAGCTCCTCCAGTTTTTCCCGGGTCTCCTTTGCTATGTGGGGTCGGGCGTTGTCGTGCAGAAGGTGGACCGAGGCCCGTCTCGGCCATGAGGGATCCATCGTGCCAGCACTTTCCTGTACCCGAGAGCGTGAAGGCGGCCGACGACTGTTGGTTGAGTACACCCAAGTCTTGTCGCAAGACTGCGGGTGCTGAGTTCCGGATCCTCCTTGACGGCGTCGAGAATGGCGAAGTCGTCGACTGTGTGGGGGCGTCCCGACCGAGGCTTATCTTCGAAGTTCGTGTCTCCTTCTTCGAAGCGAGCGAACCAGCGCTTGACCGTGCTAAGAGAAGTGGTGCCCTCTCCCAATGTGCTGTTGATGTTTTGAACGGTTGCCGTCGCTCCGGTCCCGCGAAGCCATTCGTAGTAGATGACGTGTCGAATTAGCTCTTGTGTGATTGCCATCGTGATTAAAGCTATAGGAAGCAGCCCAGCTTTATATACCCATTGAAAAGAGCTTTAGAGTAATTACTATTAATGGCCGCATTGATCTAGAGGATGCAGGTGCAAGTGCCCGTGATGTACGCTAAAAGTGTTGTAGGCTGAGTCTCAAGCTCGTGTCCAGAAGTCACCCTGTACCTAGGTGCGGAATTCTGGTGAAAAGGAACTTTGGAGTGCAGTTTAGTGCGTGTTCACAGCTATTGAGCTTCAGATACAATCTCCGGTACAAAGTCTGATCTTGCCATTTCTGGCACACTCATTCTGCTACAGCTGCGGTTTTCCTGATAGCTAAAAATGAATTCCGCAGAAGACAAGCCATCAGTGGGTGGCTGACCGCATGACACCACTGGTAATCCTTATTCATCCATTAACGCCCCTTTTTTCTATAATATTAGGTTGGCTAATAAGTAATGGCGGTTTTTTTCAATTGAAAAATTTGTTCGAAAAGTGAAACGTTTTGCAAGCAAGTTATATATCATCTGATAGGAAACTTCTCGTAGTATAAGAATATCAAAAAAGCTTTGGTTGAGGATATAGTTTTTGTGAATTTTTTAGTCGTTGAAGTTGGAAGTGAAGTCGGCGAAAATTAGCATCTTCGACAACTGCCTCTAATGGCCGTTTTTTCAATCGAAAAATTTGTTCCAAAAGTAAAACGTTTTGCAAGCAAGCTTAATATCGTTTAATAGCAAACTTCTCGTAGTATTAGAATATCAAATTCAAATTCAATTAATTCAACTATTAGCATGAAATTTCAGGTGGAACAGACGTGAGCCTGCCCAATATTGGCAAGGTGAAGGTTGCCAACTTTGAAATTCTTGAAATTAGTTCCAAAGCGTCCTAT